TAAAGATTATTATACATAACAATTTTGAAAAAGGTTTACAACTTTATTAGATACTATTAATGGGAATTGAAAAAAAAAAATGAAAATTTCCAGTTAATATTTTTTTCATTTTTAATTGTAAAATTTTAGGAAATTTTTATTTGACTTATTAGAGAGATTATTTTAATCTATTTTTTTAATAATCTCAAAAGAATCATATTTTTCAATTTCAAAATAAAATCAAATATTCTTTTCAAAATATATTGCCAAACTAAATTGAAAAAATGATTTTTTTTCTGTTTTTGGAATATTTTTAATAATTTTTAATCATGTTTTGGGTTTTAATATATATATTTCCTGTTTTTTTTTGCAAATTGTTTTAACATTTATTATTTTTTCTAACTGAATGTTCAATCTAAAGTTCATTCGTTGTAATTTTTTTCAATAAAAAGTTACCACAAAAATTGGTGGTTTTTTCAAAAGTCAGGTAATTTTGAAAAAGGTAGTATTCCAATCTTAATGAGTTTAATTGCTATCTGTTTCTGAATTACATAAAATCATCATAACTTTTGAAAAAAATAATTTATTAAAGATGTATAACTGAAATCCAATATTTAGTTTTGGCTAACTTTAATTTTCAGAATTTATTTTTTACTTGTAGTGTAGGGATCATTAGAAATTTTTTTTGTTCTTTGGATTTTTTGTAAATCAAAAGAAGTGCAATTGTACAATATCCTTTTTGATGGTTTCAAGTTAACACCTTGGGTATGAAGCGAAACCACGGAAAGTGACTATGTCCTTAATAGACTTTTTTTTATGAATTTGTTTGGCAATGTCTCAAACCAAAAAATTGGATAACATAATTTTTTTTCTTCTATTCTAATATAAATTTTACCATTTATCAAAAACTTCCATCGTAACCTTTTCACGGTTTGTTAATAACACAGGATAAATTTTTATTATTGAAAATCAATTTCTACTGATAAATTCAAATTTATTTATTGAAAATTTTAGTTCAATTTCCATTTACGTAATCTAGGGGATCAACTTTTAAAACAACTCGATAGTAAGAATATTTTGAAGAACAACTAATTTTACAAAGTTTCTCAACATTTAAACCAATAGAATGCTTTATTCAAAATGATTAAAAAAAGATTTAAAAAGGAAAATGAAGTAAAAAATTTTTAGATATTTATTTGGATTTAATTGTAATTCTTTTTACAATATTTTTCAGTTTCTGATAAAATAAACAACCTTTGAAGAATTATAATATTATTTTCCAATTAAAAAATGAAAATTTTTATTTCAATTTCTAAAATATTTTTCTAGTTTTTTAGCCGAAAAAAATCCAAAGATCTTAACAACAAAGTTTAGAAACGATGTTCTTTAAGAATGAATTTATCAGTATTTCTTCTAAATTTTCACAGATGAGTTAGAAAAGATGTATTTTTACTCAACTTGTTAGCCAGAAATTGTTGTGGTTCACTTGAAGTCTTTTATGTTTTCTCTTTTTTAAAATTCACTTATGACCATTGTGGAAAAAAAGCTCTAAACACGGGTTTTAATTGGGAACCTTACTGAAAATTCAAAGTAAGATCAATTAATAAAAGAATAGATTAAATAAATAAAGACAAAATGAAGCATTCATAACAATAACAGTTTTTTTAATACTATCTTTTGGTATGGGGTTTTCTTTGATTGGCCAATTATTAAAAATTTGTTCAAAAAATTGACTATTTTTGAGATCTCCAAAACCACACCAACAATTTCGATAAATCAAGTAGATTTAAATTGTATTTGTTGATTTGATCGAAAATAATAAAATGGATTATTATTTGAAGTTAATTGGTTTCTTCTTTTTGTTGATTTTACTTTTCATTTTTAGTTTCTATTAATGTTCCCAATTCAAAACTGTGTTTCACTTTTTTTCGTTTCACTTTTTTTCCAAAACGGTGATACGCACTTCAGTTTCCTTCTTCGAAATCTAGTAACCAATTGAAATAATTGGAAACTGTTTTTCAATTTATGTGTAATCCAATTTGTGGGAATTCTCAATACCTATGAAATTTAAATTGGTACTTTTTTTTGTCTCGACAAACTATTACTGTCATTTCCCAATTAAGAAACGAGAATTTTGATCTCAAGCCCCTGAAATATTATGCTAAATTATTTCTTGAAAAAACCCAAAGATCTTCAGAAAGTCAATTAGAAACGGTATTTTGAGAGACTGAATTAATCTTCCTTATTGGGTATTGGGATAAAATTTGAATTCTGGTAATTTGATTTTACTGCTGAGAGAAAAATGTTGGACACAGAAAAATAGTTGGACAGCAATTTTAATTGGGAACATTAATAGAGCCTGAAAATGATTTTTAATTTCAATTGTTTGTGAAATAACTAAAGAAAATAACAATAATCTACTTATTAGAATAATGATTAATGTAATTCTACTTTTTCAAAATCTTATCTCTTATAATCTAAATCAAGTTTAAAAATTACCATTTTCAGAATTAATAGTAAACTTTACTAAAACTTGGATTTTTGTTAAAATAGCAAGATCTACTTTAGTTATCAATCATTCAAATTAGTATTCTACACACACACATTAATGAACTTGTAACACCTATAAACCTGGATTTATATAAAATTCACCGAGTTTTCAATAGGATTTAATTTTCAATTTTACTAATGTTCCAAATTAAAAATGGTGTACAACAATTTTTCTCTCAACAGTTAACAGCAATAAACACCACTAATCTATCAAACTAAATTTTTGTTCATAATGCCATCATCGAATAAGATTTTAGAAATAGGATATGATAAAAACCATCCAACGATTTGGAATTTATCAGTATTAGAGGCTTTTATTTTAATACAAAAAGGGGGTGGTGGTTTTTCACAGACTCAAATTAAAAGCAAAACTACTTTGTTTTATTTTCAAAAGAAAAAAAAAAGAAAAAAAGGGATATTCAATTACTTTTCAATGCTTTTAATCTCCAAAAATTTGCCTTGGTTCAGTTTGCTGGTTGGGCTTATGATCTCTAAATATATAATTGTACAATTTTGCTCTTGAGGTGAACCAAACCCTTCGAGAATTAAATCCCCCAGATTCCCTTCGTTGAGTTTGAATTTACTTTCTTCAAAGACGTCTTCTTCTTGTTCTTTTTCCTCTTCTTGTTCTTTTTCTTCTTCAATTTCATTTTTATTGACATAATCCAAATGACTACTGTTCTCTGAGCTTGTTGGATAAAAATAAATGATACAAAATAGAAAAAGAAGTACAATGGGAACGATTTTATTGCTTTTGAAAAAACTGGATTTTTTTTTTTGAAAGAGCCTCATAAAACCTGGTAAAAAAATTGATAACAAAAAATGATTTTCTCAATTTGTTTTTTAGTTTTACCAAATCATTTCAGTAATGTTTGGGTGTTTAGTACACTTATTTCCTTACCTTTTGAGGTTTTCTTTGAGACTTTTAGTGTTTTTCAGGTTTTTACTTTTTGGTATTAGAAAACTAGAGAAACAATATTTTCATTTTCAATTTTTCTTAAAACATAAATTTCAAAGTAATAGTCTGTAATTTGAGATATTTTTTTTATTCGATATTTTATTTTATTCAATAGTTTGGTTGCTTTGGGTGAAATAAGAACCCAAAATGAAATTCAGATTTTTGAATGGAAAAATGAGAATGAGATCAAAATAAATCCCTTTTAATATTCTCAAAACAATAGATTGGAATAATTGGTAAATTTTAGTATAATTAGTTAAAATGAGGCTCAGGTTTGTCTGCAGGAGAATTAGTTATTTAAATTAAAAGTTGTCACTAATTATCCTTTTTAAGAGACAAAATTGTACTCAAAAAGCTTGTTTGAAATTCAAAATACATATAGTAGTGAAAAAAACTCCTGACCTGAAAATAATACCGGACATGATTTTTAATTGTGAATATTAGGATATTTGCAGTGTAATTTGGAAAAATTTTCAAAAAAATCCTTTTTTTTTTAAAGAACTAAACTTTTTATGAACCTCGTAATAAACCCATCTATTATTGCATTAAAGTAGGGTGTCTATGGAATAATCAAGTAATTGTTTGATAGCCAAAGTAGATTAACATCTTTTGAAAAAAAAAAAAAGTTATATGGAGTTTTACAAGAGCATGGACCATGATATATTTTGAATCTTGTTTTTTGATTGATTGAATGGTGTTTTGAACAGGTCTAATTTAATTAATCATTATTCTAATAAGTAGGTGAGTTGTAATTATAAAAGTTTGATTCTTGTTTAAAGGATTTGATTGAAAAAATTTGTCATTATTCAAACAATTTTTCCTAATATTCAAAATTAAAAATCTTTTAAGGGATTTTTTTCAAGTACAGTATTTTTTATCCACTACTATATTTGTTTAAATTTGGTTAAAGAATTAAATTCATCATATATTTGGCTATAATCAAAGAAAATTGGAATTGAAATTAAATGAAATTGGTGATCTATACAATTTCAAACGACTCTAAAAAATCGATAATGAATATTTCTGAAGAATAAATTAATCGATTGTTTATTAATATTCACTTTACAAAATTTTTCTATAATTTTCTTTTTCGAACTTTTAAAAAAAAAGAATGAGACTCTAATTTGGTGTTCTCTATATATTTGCTTGGCCTTTTTATCTGGTATCTAAATGGGGTCAAATATGACAACTAAATTAAACTCTGATTACGAAACTGAAAAAAAGAAAACTCGTTGAGATTTCATCCAATTTACATTTCAAGCGCCAGCTAAATATTCGATTTTTCTCAAAATCTTCATCTTTTTTTGTGTCTTCATTTCTTTTCGAAAAATTATAAAGTTTGGTTTCTAAACAATTATGTGTTAATTTATTCTTCTTTTTGTTTTTTTTTTTTTTTTTTTTATGATCGAAAAGATCAACCAAAAAAAGTTACTTCCAAACACACAAAAGTTTTTTCAAATGTGAAAAGAAGATGAAAAAAATAACCTAGCTTAGAAGATAAAAAAAGAAAAAATGGTTCTATTAGGAATCGAACCTAAACCTAAACATTCAGAGTGTTTCGTGCTGCCACTACACCATAGAACCTGTATATATCAGGTATTACTAAAGTAGTCATATTATATTTTATATAACAGTGAAATCAATTCTTTTTAATCTTTTAATTACAAAACAAATTTTAGCAGAAATACTTCACAACTAATCTAACACATTATCAAAAAAAACATACACAAATGTCACTTTTATTCAAGTCCATCCAAATCAAATAATCGAAATAATAAGTCAAAAAAATAAATCAACAATGAAACAAGAAAAGCACTAATTTTCCTCATCATTTTTATCTTACCAATTTCTAAATAAGGATTCCTTATCTCAAAATAAGTTAATATGAAAATAAACAGGGCCAGACAAATCTAAATAATTGGTAAAAAAATAATCTAAATCTCTATTAAATTTTGGAAAAAATAATTTAATAAAGATTTAACTTATAAAAAAAATTTTTTATAACATCTCAATAACCTTTTTATAACAAAATTTCCTTTTACATGATAATTTTTTCAATATTTTTTGTAAAAAATATTCTTGTCACAGGATTATAACATGTTACAAAATTTATAACACATTTTATAACAAACATTTATGTTATAAAAGTTTTTATTAAAAAATTTTATAACATTTTAAAGGTTATATAACACCTTTACAACATGTTTATAACATGTTATAAAAAAAATTTTTTTTATTAGGGTTGTCTCTTAATTAATATTTATACAATGTTTTTTACTAACGTCCTAGAGAAAATAAAGTATTATTTTAGTTTAAATAGAAAAAATAATAAATTTATGTTGAATTGGAAAATATTATTTGAATTGAAAAGTTCTAAAAATATATTTTACTGTTTCAAATCACAGGAAAAAAAGTCGAAAGAGTTTATATATTTTTTTTAAATTTTTAAGGATCCAAATATTACAAACTCAAAATCGAACACATAATATATTTCCAACATTTGTATTAAATCTTCACGGATTTTGATTACCATACCTCACAAAAATTTCTTACCTTATATTTTATTAATATTCAAAAAAGAATTAATACTTTCTTCCAAAATTTTTTCATTAAATTTTGTTTTCCTTAAGGGATTAGTCTTACCATAAATTTCTCTGGAACCAAAGTATGTTGTAATCAGGTGTAAATGACATTAGTGTATTCTTGCTAAAATAGCTCTAAAAATCTATTATAAATCTTATTACACACTAAATTCTTAGTTTTTTTATTTAATGATCAATTCAAAATTGTTCATTTGGAATTTTTTTTTTTAATTCCTTTTCCATTCTAAAAATAATAAACCCCAAATAACAGTATTCTGATATTTAATAATTCATATTTTGAAACCTCCAAAAGTAGCTATTTTTTTCAATTTTTTATTTTCAAAGATTAACTCAATAATCATCAAATATGAACACAAAGACTGATTAGTTTTGTTTCCTTTCTATATCGCTAATTTTAACTTTAATATAAACCCACTCAAAAAAATTTGTACACACATAAAATCAAAAATAGGCAAAAATAAAAACTCACTTTCTTATATTTTTCCAAACCTAATATAAAACCACATTCAAGTTACCCAGTATTAATGTTTTTATAAGTAATCATTTATAACCAAATAAACGAAAAAAATATAAAACTAAAAAAAAATTACAGTGTGTCCAAAAAAATGAAACGAGTAGAACAAAAAATGTATTGGTAAATTTGTTGAAATTTCACCAACAATTGTTGATCGATCAAATGATAAGATAACATCGATTTATTGTATGTGATTTTCCAATTTTAGAAACTCAACAGTAAACCATCTATCAACCATCAAGAAAATTTACATAACTAATCAAACAGATTATGTAACTGGAAAAAAGGAAATGAAAAAAAAAAGACAAATAATGAAATAATATTTTGTAAAATCAAAATTATCCCGAAATTGAATATAAAGTGGAGTATTTTTTTCCTATTTTTTCAACCATTTAAACTATGCCCAAATTTTTGGAATTTAATTTATTTCCAATATTTCAGAAATAAGTTGTTAAAAAGATCAATATGGTTAATTATTTAATTTTTTGTATTTAGGAATTTGGCTTGAAAAAGAGAAATATTTTAAAAAAATCAACATGAGTTTTAACCAACAACAATTCGCCAATGGAGTAAAATTACAAATATTTAAATCGATATGTATTAGCCAATTATTTTATGGATTAGTTATTTTCAATCTGACCCAAAATGATTTCAACTCGATAGATGTTTGGATAAATAAAAAAGTAAGAAAATTTTTAAAAATTAATACATATCCTCCCAGAATAATTTATAAAACCGAGGCAAAAATAGACCAAGTAAGAATTTGGATATAAAAGAAGATTTAAACCTAAAAAGAAATTAAAAAATCTTGGTTTCGAAAACATATCAAAAAATTAAAAATTTTACTAAAAAGACAACGAAAATATTAATTGGAAAGCAGAAAATTTAAAATTGCTAAAAGCAAATCTTAATCAATTTAGAGAAAACTTAATAAATAACACTGGGTGGAAAGGCAAGGAATATTTAAAAATTATTAGATAGAATAACAATATAAACAAACAAAAAAATATTTAAAATGGAAGGGATCTACTTCCATCTTAAAACTAAGAAATTTCATAAATTATCTAAATATATATTCTTATGTTTATGATAAGAATAAAACAAAAACAAAATTTTGCAATTTATGCAAAAAATATTTAAACCTAGATATAGATGAAGATATCGATCATTTTTTATGGAATTGGCCATCCTATGAAAAAAATCTAATAATTTGAATTAAATATTTAATTCAATTTAACAAAAATAATAAGAATATATCTTTTATATTATTTGAAATAAAGACTCATTCTTTATTTTATCATTAGTTAATGATAAAGAGAATTATGATTCTTTATTGAAATTTCTAAACAAAAATTTAGAAATTAGGTGAGTGTCTAGGTTTTTTTTAATTTAAGAAATAAACTGAAAATTAAATAAATTTTCGGTTTAATTCACAAATTAAAAAAAAACCTAAAGGCTGTAAGAGGAAATTGATTTCCTCCCTTCAAAATAAAAAAAAAAAAAAAAAAAATTATTTAATTTTTTTTAAAAAAACAAATATTTTAGCAATAATATACATTTGAATACAAATTTAAGAAAGATATTTTATGCAATTTTAGAGTATGAATATTGATAAATCAAAATTTAAATTTGTGGTGAAATTTTTATTTTTTTATTTATTTATTGTGAGAAAGGAGTAATCAAAGAAAATTCATCAAATAAAAAAAAAGAGAAGAAGAAAAATAATTAAAATATCCAAGTAAAAAAATAGTTATATCATTTACATGACCAAATTTAAAATTCTCTACTGTGGTTAGGTTCTCCAGGATTTGAAAGAATTGAGTAAAATCTTTGATTTTACTAAATTATTTCGAATTCTGGAAAACAGTCGTTCACCTTTTTTTAATTTGAGTTATAAAAAGAAAATTTTTGAAATTTTTTTTTTATTTCTCAAATTAAAAAAAAGCGCTGTTAGGTTTTCTTGAGTTTTTTGTTTATTAGGAAAATCAATAGATTTATGTTAGGTTTTTTTTACTTTAGAAATAAAATATAAAACCTCAAAAAAAACCCATAACACTTGATAAATAAAACAGAAAACCTCAAGAAAACCTAGACACTCAACTGTACTTGACGACAATTCTCCTGAAACAGCAGGAGTAAAAATCCTATAGAAAGATTATCAGTAATAAATGAAGATTCCACAAACTGTGATTTATAAAATGGTATTCCACGACTCCTAAGAGTGGGTGTACTATCTACCCGAATTTGTATATTTTTTAAATTTAGATTTTTTTCTGAAATTTTTGGGTTTATTACTAATACATAGATCATTTTTAATTGATGAGATCAACAAATATTACTACTTGACTAATCGATTTTTTAGAGAAATTTGAACAATGTAGCACGAATTTGGTTATGATCAATAAAAACATACTTTGATCTTAGGTTTCTCCTTGGTAAACGCAAACCCCTTAAGGTTAAAAATACAAAAATTTGAAAAAATATTATCTTATATTGGATGTATTGGCTTATTAATTTGGTTCTTATCTGATCGATCTTGTGCTTAATATGTGTTTTAAGTGTGGTTCAAAATAGAAATTTTTACAATTTTTTTTTTTTCCTAAAATCCAAATTCATGATTTCAAAACAAATAAATTAATAGGTGTTTAGTAATAAATGTAGATTCTAGTGTTTTCAATAGGAATTTTTATTTAGATTTTGTTTTGTTTGTTGATTTTTTAACAAAAAAATTTTTTTCATTTAGTTAATTGACTAAAAACCATAATCAAAATTTTCTTCCACAACTCAATCATCTAAATCTATTCTTAAACACACACCAATGTATTAATCTTACACTTTACAATTCTGATTTCGTAAAAAAAAAAAATAAATTGTCAAAAATTTCTATTTTGAACCACACTTAAAACCCATATTAAGCACAAGATCTATCAGATAAGAATCAAATTAACAAGCCACTACGTCCAATATAAGATAATTTTTTTCCAAATTTTAGGGATTGTAAACCTTAAATTATGTGTAGAAATTGAGAAATTTATAATTTTGGTTATGTCCATAATTACCCTTCAAATAAACCCAAGAATAGATATCAGAAAGTGTTTATTTACAAAAAATCTTTTCTTATTAGATACCAAACAAAAAAAATCAAATTTCTAGATAAAATTGTTGTAATGATACCTAGAAATGAAAAAAAAATTGATCAAAGTTATTTCGAAGATTTGTCTTTTATTTTTATTAAACTTAGATGAAACTAAAAAAGAAATTGATAAAAATTTCTATCATCTCATTTCTATTTATTATTATCTTATACAACATTTTTTACCTATTTGTTTTCAAAATCCTTTTTTTCATATTTTTTAACATTGCCAAAATAATCCAAAACAAAGAATATTACTACAAGGATTATATTTTAGTGATTGAATTGACAAAACCAAAAAACATTTATAAAAGATTCGATCCAAATAAAAAGA